GACTTATTATACTGATTTAACTTACAGATGAAATAAGGTGCAAATAATAGTTTATTCTTTTGAACCAAGCGACTAAATCAGTCTTTAATTTCATCCGCAAGTTGAATCAGTATACAGAAATAAGATTATACTATAGTTACAATAAACTAATATTAATAAAATATTCAGAATTTATTGGCGTAAAATTTCAAAAACCGCGTTAAAAATTTCTTTTATATTGCGTAGACGAATATGTCGTGAAATTTGGTTGGTCTCAAGTATTGATGCTATGTTTTATAATGATTTTCCATAAAAAAAACTGATTAAAAACCCAGATTTTAAATTTGTTTAAGTGACGCATTTAGAAACATAGCGCCCTGGACCCAAAACATGCAGGCACCCTCCAAACTAGTGCCATATTTATAAATTATTTTAAAAATCAGTAAAATTATTCCATCTTTTCAGTTTATTAGTGACTTCCTAACTCTTCCATATTAAGCTAAAGATTCTTCTTTCAACGAATTATACAATATAAATAATTACTATCTTTAATTAGGCAATATATAAGAGGTTTTTATTAGAATAATAAATCATTGGCTAATTTATTCATTAATTAATAACTTTCAGCAGTTAAAGATAATGCTTTACAGTTAAGAAGAACAATTTATTAGCTGTCTAAATTGAATATAACTGAAGGTTAAAGCAGAGACCATAATACCATATTAAGAAAGGAAAACGATTCAATCCAATAAACTCTTTAAATATATAACGAAAATAATCGATTATAAAAATAAATTCTAAAAAAGTTTTATCTTATAATGTAATCGAGATGGGTTGATGATAATAATAAGCGCAGAGCCCAAACGGTTAGGAGTTGAAAACTGAAATTTGGTACACAGTTAGGGCACACTAAGAAGAGATTTTTTGGAAATTCAACCCCGCGGGGGAAAGTGAGAGTGAGTTAAGAATTACCTTGAAGAAATCAGCTTATACTGTACTATTTTATATGCGGCATTTTGCGTTTTTACGAAAAATCGAACATATTTTTTAGACCCATCTAAAAATTTTCTAATTAGTGTAGGAAGAGGGGCGACCTAATTCTTGCACCCGATGAAAACGGGTAAGATCGGCTATAATCTATTAATCTTAATCTTTGCTATCGTTACTTTTTGCCCGAGCAACATTGAGCTCATCTGCTAGTTACCGAATAAGTTATTCAAGAGAAATTCAAATTATCAGAACGTATCCTACTCAGAATCTTTATTTTTGTATCAGGCCTTTAACTTATCCGGAAAAATATTGAGTAAGGACCTTGAAAAAAGTTGAAGATTATTATTTTTTTTTAGAAAAAAAAGGTTAATGATCTTGAGTTTATTGTCTTTCTTAAACCTATAATAGGAGAGATATTTGTTACGGTTCGTCTGTCATCAATCACTTTGTTTTTGTCAGTGGAGAACGTAAAAATTTTCCTTCAGTGAAACGATTTAGTGATAACAAACATTGGCCCTTATATAGATGTCATACATGTAAAGAAAACCTGAAAACTCCATATGGCCAGCCTGTTAGTCAGGCCCGAACACACGATTTCAATAGCTTATATCGTTAACCACAATTTTGCCTGTTTCGGGTGAATATCATCCACAGTAAAACTGACAATATATAGAAGGAAGGGAGAATGGAGTTTAGTCAAATTGCTTATCAACAATCATCGATGATGTGGATCAGATTTAAATGTGGATTCCACACTACATCCTGATAAGTTAAATGCTTAATGTAATAGAGATTTATGGATTCTAAGAAAATTCGTAGCAACTATTCCAAAATTAATAATTTTCAGTTTTTTAGCCTAATTTTTAGTATAAAAAAAGTGATTTATCTTACACAAAATAACTTCAGAAACTGATTTATATAATCGAAATTTTATGAGGTAGCTGAGTAGACTTGTTCAAATTCAAGGTCGCCCAGTTAAGGTTAAAGTTACCAATATATTTATTTCCGTAAATCTCCAAATTCCAAATTCCGTAAATGTGTAAATTAATATTTATTTTTAACTTTAAAAAAATACTTGTTTTTATATATTTGTATTCTTAAAATCAGATAATTTTATAAAAATTTCAATAAAGTTAAATTAGTATCTCGCTCAAAAAATGCTAATTTTTGGGTCAATTTAAAGACTAGTTTTAAGCAAATTTTTATACAGTCGACCCCCTATAACACTGTTAATTATTCCGTTTTATATGAATTCCATGTTGTACAAGTCACTTAGATTTTACAAATATCTGAGCCGTTCACAGCCCAGCACATGTATTTGTAAAATCTAAGTGACTCGTACAACATGGAATACATATAAAGCGGAATAATCAACAGTGTTATAGGGGGGTTAACTCTATTTTATTTTTACGAAAAACGAGATTAAAAACATTAAGTTAAACTGCTAATTTTAAGTCTTTGTTTATTTTNTGCATTCTTGATATACAGAAACATTTCCAATGTAAAAAAGTGTAAACCAGAATAAGTTAAATATGTTTATGTATTTCATTTAACTTTGATCATACATCATTTGTTTCACTTTGATAATTAATTGATCTTTCATTTATATTATGGAATAAATATCAAATTTATTTTTGAAAAAGAAAGGACTAATATAATCTAATATTTCGTATAACTAATTTAGAATTTTTGCAAAGTTTCGACCTGTGAGCACTAAGAGGGCTTTTATTCCATCGCAGGTTCGGCCAGATGCGCATTGGGAGAGATTGGGAATTAAGAGATGGCTCCTTATATCCAGGACTGACCACCCCCGAAAAATTCCTAGGTAATTGCTCATCCGGATTCTATCCCTGATACCCAGAATGGTAGGCTGACGTCTTAACCGGAAAATCCTGGTTTGGTGGTATAAAGTTACTCATGGACAATCTGCTAAGGGGATGTGCCTCACGGGTGAATTTTCTAACGGAAACTGAGTATTTAGATGTCACACACGCAAAGAAAACCCGAAAAACTACATGTAGACAGGCACGAAACCACGACTAACTTAGAATTCGGTGGTTTTATCCATTCGGTCACTAGTGGGCCTTTAAAAGTAGCCCAGAAGCTACGGTTTCATGAAATAATATTCTTAAATATTTAATAAAATTAAAAACATTAAATAGATACTTGTAAATTTATTGTAAAATATGTTTAAGAACCATAAAACTATTTATTTATTCTGCTTTTCAATACATACAATTTTTCTTTAAATATTCAATATAGAGAGTAAAATTTTAGAGGTATTTTCGTGAAATTTTTAATTTAGAATTATTTTTATTTTTCTTTGCTCCAAGAGAATAATGAATAAAAATAAGACTTTTAACTTGAAATTCAGTATTAAGAACAGTTTAATTCATAATAACATTAAACTTTATATTTAGAACAAACATTAAATCGTTAATTTTTTTAAAGTGATAATTGTGATTTTACAATAAAAATAGACTGGTTTTTAAAGATTTCACAGTTCTTACGTCTAAATTTTAATCTCTAAATTGATGTCATTAAACAGAATTTATTTTCTTTCTTGTTGTGAGATGGTGCGTATGATTTTGAAGACAGCTTCTGAAAATAAAATAAAAGCAGTCAATCGAAAATAAATCAAATTCAGAAAACTTTTATTTTTATTTTTTACCTCTTTGGATTCAAGCGTATGGTTTAGTCTTCGAATCTTATAGTAGAAAAATGGATATTCCTGAATTTTATCGAAATCGCGACGTATTAATTACAGGAGTTACTGGTTTTATAGGAAAAGTAAGTATTTTGTTTATGTTGAACGCTTTAAATTGCTTAATTTTTGTTTAAATAATTAATTAATTACTTGAAGGTTCTGTTGGAGAAATTATTAAGATCGTGTGATGTTGGAAAAGTTTATGTCTTAGTAAGAACAAAGAAAGGGATAAAACCAGAAGAGAGAATAAATGAAATGTTTCAAGTCGAAGTAAGTCTGTGATTTAATATAAATTAAGACGTTTTCTAATAATCATAAGAAACGTTTTCAAGCTAAGTATAGCAAAAACCATGAATGGTATTAAACAAATCAAACATTTGTTTTTTGGCTTCACTTAAATGTTTATTAAGTAAACTAAAAGGAATCTTAGTGGACATGCCATATATATATATATATAAAATATGAACATTTAACAGCTTCTTTCTAATGTTATCAATTAATTTTATTAAAATAATGCTTAAATAAAACGTTCCTATTCAAACATCCGCTTATACTGTTTTCTTCCCTTTTTTTCTTCACATTTATCACGGGTTCGACTACGTCCATAAAGAGATGATTAGGTGTCGATGCCCGACAAGGGCCTTACATCCACATAAAATTTGTCTAAGTTATCAATATGATATATAGAATGATTACAAAGACTCGATCCATTTTTGTGAAGATTGTAACAAAATCATTTGTTTGAAAGTCGTGTGAAGCATGCTGACCCAAGAAAAGAGAATCGCCGTGGTTTGCGCATGTTTGCGTACATTAACATACACGGAAGTATCATCAAATCCTCCTGCTCCATAGCCTGCAAGAGATCGTGGCACATTGCTTAGTGGGTGGCATAGTTTGCTTTCTCTTCCTCCAGTTTTTATAATACAGTACCTGTATACTATGCACGATTCATGTGTTTGTAATGAAAAAACTCCCACATTTAGAGGCACGTTTGTGGCACAGTGAGCATCAAGCCACTGTGCCACACAGAGAGTGTGGCTTAGTCATTTGCTTGATGACGTAGACTCTTTGTAGAAACATGTTGAACCGTTTCGTCCGGTATGGTGATCCTCCCGGAACATTGTGCATCGAGTACATTACCCATTCGCCTGAACTTGGTAAGCAACAATCTGATATTGGTAGGAGCAGACTTCTTAAATTTCTGGGTAAAGTTTGTCTTACTTTTGTGTACGTTAATAGAATAAAACAAGCGCAAACAAAGCGATTCTCTCCATTTATCTTTAATAACAAACTTTTATTAAAATTTTCTTTTAATTCATATCTCGTGGTTTTAATTTTAATCCAAATAAAACATTTCTCATAAAAAGATAACGATATCTATAGAAATAGCTTATTAGTTGCCGAGTGGACATAACCACCGGATATTAGCAATTGATCACGGGTTAGCGCCTCTTAACAAGCTAGTCACAGAGTTTTCCGGGTTTTCTTCAAGTGTCTAACACCTGAATAGGGACCAGAATCTAATTAAAAATCTTCCAAACGTTCCCACGGTTGATCTCTTTATCTTATCACTTTAACTGAAAAAAATAGCATAAATGAAAATATTTAGTATGAAATGTTCTATAGTTTTTAAATTTCTAACAGATTTTCAAGACACTAAAATGTGATAAACCAAATATCCTGAATAAAGTACGTTGTATCGAAGGAAATATTTTACATGAACATTTAGGAATGTCCCATTCTGACATGAATTTGCTGACTGAAAATGTTTCAGTTGTGTTTCACATTGCTGCATCAGTAAAATTCGAAGATTCCTTTCGGTAAATTCCCTACAATAAAAACTGTAATTGTAAATATTCTTGTTTTTATTATAGAACTAATCGCTTCTGTTTACAGTAATTCATTTTGTAGTAACGTACAAGCAACAAAAAATTTAGCCGATGTTTGTCGACTCATGAAAAAATTATTGGTAATAATTTCTCAAATTCTGCTTTTATTTTAAAATATTACAACGTAAATTCAGACAAATGAATTCATTTCAGGCTTTGATTCATGTATCTACTGCATACTGCAATTGTGAGAGACAAGAATTAGATGAAAAGATTTATCCAATATCACAGAATTATGAGGATTATATAAATATTTTAAAGTACATTACACAGTTCTTTGTGTATTTAAAATAAAATAACTTAAACTTTAATTTTTTCAGTAAAACTTCTTTTGATTCGTTTCCAATATTTCAGACTAAATGACAATTTCATTGAAAAAATTGTCCCCAAACTTCTCGATGGTCGACCAAATACTTATTTAATAACGAAAGCCATAACAGAAAATCTGTTAAATATTAATTATAGAGACTTACCAGTAATTATCATTAGGCCTTCTATTGTAAGTTCTAGTTGGAAGGAACCAATGCCTGTGAGTATGCAACACAAAGTTATTATAATTTTCTAAGAAATGTAATATATAATATAATAGATAATTAGTAGCATTTATTTCATTTTTAGGGATGGAATGATAGTTTTAATGGTGCTAATGGTCTCGTTGCAGCAGTAAGTATTTTGATATTATTCATATATATATATATATATATATATATCAATATAAGTAAAACAATAAATTAATTCTTCGTAGGCCATGAAAGGAATCTTGAGATCAATGTTAATTCATGGAGAAAAAGTATGTGATTTAATTCCAGTAGATATTGTTGTGAATTTAATGATATCTATTGGTTGGGAAAAGGCAAAGAAACCCCATGACAGGTAAAAAATAATTTTAAAATATAAAATTTAAATTATGAAATATTCGTGGTATCGATGCTATACTTCTACTATAGAAAATAACATAAAAAAATAAAACAAAATAACTCTACATAAAAGTTATTCGAATTAGAAATTCGCACACATTATCAATAAATGACCCACCACTAGCCCAGTAGATAAAACCATCAAATACTGGTCGTGAGTTCGCGCCTGACCAACGAGCTAGATGCGTGAATTTTCTGGGCTTTCTTCACTTATACTTTCTTCAGGGCTTATACGTTTAGCATCTAAATAGAAGACAGTTTTCTATCAAAGTCCTCTGGGAAAATCCTCCCTTTGCGGATAGTCCAAGTGTTGCGTTGTGGTATCCCATCACAAATCTTTCTTCTAATCTTCATAAAAAATGAAGATATCAGATTAAAATTTAATATTTTTATCTCAAAATATTCTAATAGAATAATTTATCTGAGATATTAATTTGCATTTTTATAATAATTCAATATGACGGCCATATGGTTATGGTGTTAAGGCTTCAACCTACCATTCTGGGGGACATGGTATCGAATCTGGGCGTGCAACTCTCCAGGAATTTTGCATGAGTGCTCTGTTCCATATATCTGTTTATTATTAAGATAATTGCAAATGTTATAAAAATATTAAAATGTTCCACAAAAATTTCTAATGATCTCACAGTTCTCAAGAAATTCTAGTATACAACTGTACTTCAGGATCCTTAAATCCAATGACTTGGATAAGGAGTTTGAACATTATGTATAAATACGTATGGAATTATCCGTCGCAGAAAGTTTTCATATATCCTGCTGGAGGATTTAGAAGAAATTATTATTGGAATCGTTTGTGTGTCTTATTGGAACATAATTTTCCTGCAGTTTTAGTGGATGTTTTACTCGTCGCTATGGGAAGAAGACCAAAGTACGTAATATTTTCAAATACTTTTTGGATATATTTCATTAATTTTTTATTTCTTTTATATAATCTAGGCTAATTAACATTTATAACAAACTGCATAAAGCAATTAGTGTTTTGGAATATTTTTCGACACGTGAATGGAAATTTCATTCGACTAATATGATGAAACTAAAGGCAAATATGTCACCCGATGATAAAGAGGTAAATATATTTTTTATTATGCTAAATATTTTAAATGTTTATATTTTAAAAAAGATTGTTTAATTTTATGTATCGTTATTATTACTCACATTGACGCCAGATGACCGAGGCAGTTAAGGTGTCCGCCTACTGCTTTAGGATACTCGACATTAAATCCAGGCAACCTGTCCCTATATAGCATGCCTTCCGAGACACCTTTCTATTGGAAACTGGCCTCTATTTAGGTGTTAGACATATGAAAAACCCTGCAAACTCCATGTGACTATCCCCGTTGACGAGGCGCAAACCTGCAACCAGCTACCAGTGTTAAGTGGTTTTATTCATCGAACACTGGCAACTTTCTCTCATATTTAAAAATTATGATAGTAGTAGATTACTGGAATTATAAACAAAAAATGGACATTCCATGTATAATTCGTTCAAATCAGTTTTTTTTTAATATTAATATTTAAGTCTTTTTGTTTTGTGTGCAGTAAGAGAATCTTTAAAATCACACCCATTAAGGGTTTGGCTATGTCCTCAATAGGGTCGGCAGGATAATGAGGAAAGGGCCGACATATACCAGACAGACTTCCCACGAAAAATTCCTACCTAGGAATTTTTCGTGGAAGTTGAATTTTTAGGAAGTTGATCGCCTGGATTTGATCCTGAATCCTCCTGAACAATGGACTGACGCCTGGACTATACGGTCTTCAAGCAATTTTAATTTAAATATAACGCTTATACAAATGTATTGACGTTTGTGCTACTAAAATGACTTCTCTAGTTTAAATTTCTTTCTTAATTTTGTTAATACAGTATTTAACACTTAGCCACGTCCTGCTATAACGAAATAACTATATATTTAAAGCGGGAGTCTTTAAATAGTCTAAAACAAATAAATATTGAAATATATTACTATAGAAATTTAACATCGATATCACAAACGTGAATTGGGAAGAATATTTTAAAAATTATGTAGTGGGAACCAGAAGATACCTCTTCAAAGAAGACGACTCTACCATTCCCGAAGCCAGAAAAAGTCTTAAAAAGTATTGTTATTTAATTAAATCTTTATTTTAATATTTGTTTTAAAATTTATGAAGTAAACTTTATTTTCAGAAAATATTTCATCTCGTTAACCATTCAAACTGGACTTTTTTTGGGACTCGCCCATTATTTTACTTCGAATGTTTTGTTTAATAATCTGTTTTAATTATAATTGAAACTTGTTCTTTTAGTCCTTTATTTATTTTTTACAGTCACATAAATCATTAATTACAAATTTACGACGTATTTATTTTGCATAGGAATCCTATTCATCATTATTTAAATATGCAAAAATAAATATTCATTAAATTTTCGTAACTTTATAAATTACAATAAAAAAAAAAGATTTCTTACAAATCTGTGAAAGTGTTATATAATTTTTAAATTAAAATCAGTGTTATTACCTAAAAATCCTCTTAAACATACTTGTTTGTAAAACTTTACAATACAGAAAAATATTTCATAATTCTGCTTGTTTGTGTACTGTGTATTTAAAAAATATGTATTGATCTATATAGTAAACTACATATTTCATATTTAAATGCATGTAAAGTTGAATAAACTCTGTTCTATTTTATATTGATGCGCTTATTCTACACAGCCTACCAGTGACCAAGCAGGTTCCGTTCCCTGAACATGGGTAGTTCGGTCGTGGGTTCGCGCCTCGTCAGGACCCTTATTCTCGAGTTTTTCGTGTTACAATTCCCAACGTGTTGAAGGTGTTACGTGGTACCATCTCACACTCTGACGTCAAATCGGTAGTCTCCAGTTATAATTCACGTGCTTTCCTGTCTCAGTATGCTAGTTGAGTCGAGCAAGTGAGATCGCTAAAGTGAAAATGGCTGACAAATATGCTATTTTGATGGCAATCGAAGCGTTAGGAAGAGCCGAAAGAGTTGTTTAAGAAGGTAACGAATTTTTCGAACACGATTAGATGCCATTTCTTTTCGTGTCAAGTCAATACTAATAAAAAAATTTAATTCATAATTGATAAAATTATATAGCAAATTTTTCCAAAAATAAAAAGACATATCTAATTCATCGAAAAAGAGAATTAAAATGATAGTAAATTATTAAGAGCATAGACACTATAATAAGATCATTAATCAGAAGTGTAAAGTTCAGATTAATAAATAATCTTAATAAACAAAACAATTTAAGAAATAGATCAAGGAAGAAAACTATATAAAGAAAGGATTAAATTAAAACACTTTTTCCACTACACAACGGATTTTTTACCTCCACTACACAATTAATTTTTCAGCTAATTCTCTCCACAAATCGAATTGTATTTCTTCTTGTAAATTCGTTATCGAATTTTCCGCTGTTCATTTTCTTATTATTTTCTATATATGTCACTATTTCTTTTTGTTCTTTTTGCTTATTTTTAAAAATAAAACATTGGAGGTTTCCATTTTGTTTCATATTATATTGCTATAAGACAAAACTATAACACGTGTAAACTAATTCGCGTTGATTTGTTTACAACTTGTTACAGTAAAGTTGATTAGTCGAATCATTATAGTCGCAAACCCAGATGCACTGTAAATAATCTCATCATGCTTAACGACACACGTAAACAAGTGAATATGATCTACTTCCGCTCATCTTTCGAGTTCGCTCGATGGGTCTAAAGCCTGGACTCCACATTACCTGAAAACAGAAACTCAGAAACAGAACTGAAACATACAGAGTTTTCATTTCAGTTATGTTTTCGTTTTAACTTGACGCCACTAGAAATGCGCCATCTGTTGGTCAGTTCTGTAATTGTCGTAGTCAAACACGGACGACGCTACGGATTTTGCCACGCTTTCTCTGCATTTATTAACAATGAAATTGTAAATAAGCTTTGAATTATTTACATTTTTTGTCGTACAGACATCTGTATTTTCAAACTTCTTCGATGAAGAATTCTAAATCTATTTGTTTCCTCGTCGTTTTCGCTACACTTTCTGCCATTACGACAATCAAACTACACGACTAATGCACGTGACTACGCGTCACAAATGCTTGCGTTTTTATTGGCTGCAGTACGACAGAAGCGCGGAACGAAAACGAAAAAGTTAAATAATTTTTAACTCCGCTTTCAGTCTTGTTTCTGTTCAACTGAACGTTACAAAACTGAAAGTTTCGTCAGTTTGGCTTTCAGTTTTACGATTACGTCGCGGATTCCGGTAATGTGGAGTCCAGGCTTAACACTAGACTATCGATTATGCGAGTCATAGTAACACGAGTGAGTTCGATGACGTCAATTCGAGTACAACACGAAAAACTCGAGATTAAGGGCCCCGGACGTGCTGGTCACGTGGAGTTTTCTGGGTTTTCTCCGCGTTTGTAACTCCCAAATACGTGCCAGTTACCCTTAGAAAGATCTCCCGAAAGGCATCCTCCCCTAGGCAGATCACCCAAGTGTTGCGTTGCCGTAAATTAACAAACAACTTATTCTACATAAAAGTACTTTTTTATTATGCTTTTTATTTTACATATTGACGGCCGGATGACCGAGATAATTAGAGGTCAACTATCAATCTGGAGAACCCGGATCCAATTCCAATCCTGTCTGGAGTCCTTTTGTAGGTCTAACCCAGTGTTTCTCAACGGGGGCGATATCGCCTCCATGTGGGCGTTTTTCCATGTTGAGGGGGCGATTAGTAACAATTTATATTTTGGGGTGCGAAAAACAATTTTCTGGGCGATATAGTAAAACATTATATTAAGAATAATTAGATATTTTATTCGTTATATCGTACAATAATTAAACAAATAACATTATACTAGTCACTAGTCTATTCAATGCAGTAC